CAAGCCATGAGGTCGAAGGAATTGTCCGTAGAGCTCCGAGACAGAATTGTGTTGCGGCACAGATCTGGGGAAGGGTACCAAAACATTTCTGCAGCATTAAAGGTCCCCAAGAACACAGTGGCCACCATCATTCTTAAATGGAAGTTTGGAACCACCAAGACTCTTCCTAGAGCTGGCCGCCTCGTCAAACTGAGCAATCAGGGGAGAAGGGCCTTGGTCAGGGAGGTGACCAAGAACCCGATGGTCACTCTGACAGAGCTCTAGAGTTCCTCTGTGGAGATGGGAGAACCTTCCAGAAGGACAACCATCTCTGCAGCCCTCCACCAATCAGGCCTTTATGGTAGAGTGGCCAGACGGAAGCCACTCCTCAGTAAAAGGCACATGACAGCCCGCTTGGAGTTTGCCAAAAGTCACCTAAAGACTCTCAGACCATGAGAAACAAGATTCTCTGGTTTGATGAAACCAAGATTGAACTCTTTGGCCTGAATGCCAAGCGTCACGTCTGGAGGAAACCTGGCACCATCCCTACGGTGAAGCATGGTGGTGGCAGCATCATGCTGTGGGGATGTTTTTCATTGGCAGTGACTGGGAGAATATTCAGGATCGAGGCAAAGATGAACGGAGCAAAGTACAGAGAGATCCTTGATGAAAACCTGCTCCAGAGTGCTCAAGACCTCAGACTGGGGCGAAAGCTTACCTTCAAGCAGGACAACAACCGTAAGCACACAGCCACGATAACACAGGAGTGGCTTCGGGACAAGTCTCTGAATGTCCTTGAGTCGCCCAGCCAGAGCCAAGACTTGAACCTGATCGAACATCTCTGGAGAGACCTGAAAATAGCTGTGGAGCAACGCTCCCCATCTAACTTGACAGAGCTTGAGAGGATCTGCAGAGAGGACTGGGAGAAACTCCCCAAATGATGGTGTGCCAAGCTTGTAGCGTCATACCCAAGAAGACTTGAGGCTGTAATTGCTGCCAAAGGTGCTTAAACAAAGTGCTGAGTAAAAGGTCTGAATACTTATGTAAATGTGGTATATCATTTTTTATTTGTCATTATGGGGTATTATGTGTGTATATTGATGAGAAAAAGCTATTTAATCCATTTTAGAATAGGGCTGTAACCTAACAATATGTGGAAAAAGTCAAGGTGTCTGAATACTTTCCGAATGTACTGTATGCTGAGCACTTGTTGGCTGCTTTTCCTTCACTCTGTGGTCCGACTCATCCCAAACCATCTCAATTGGGTTGAGGTCGGGTGATTGTGGAGGCCAGGTCATCTGATTCAGCACTCCATCACTCTCCTTCTTGGACAAATAGCCCTTACACAGCCTGGAGGTGTGTTGGGTCATTGTCCTGTTGAAAACAAATGATAGTCCCGCTAAGCCCAAATCAGATGGAATAAATGGTGTATCGCTGCAGTATGCTGTGGTAGCCATGCTGGTTAAGTGTGCCTTGAATTCTAAATAAATCACTGACAGTGTCACCAGCAAAGCACCATCACACCTCCTCCTCCATGCTTCACAGTGGGAACCACACATGCGGAGATCAACCGTTCACCTACTCTGCGTCTCACAAAGATACAGCAGTTGGAACCAAAATCTCAAATTTGGACTCCAGACTAAAGGACACATTTCCATCGGTCTAATGTCCATTGCTCATGTTTCTTGGCCCAAGCAAGTCTCTTCTTCTTATTGGTGTCCTTTAGTAGTGGTTTCTTTGCAGCAATTTCGACCATCAAGGCCTGATTCACGCAGTCCCTCTGAACAGTTGATGTTGAGATGTGTCTGTTACTTGAACTCTGTGAAGCATTTATTTGGGCTGCAATTTCTGAGGCTGGTAACTCTAATGAACTTAAACTCTGCAGCAGAGGTAACTCTGGGTCTTCCTTTTCTGTGGCGGTCCTCATGAGAGCCAGTTTCATCATAGCGCTTGATGGTTTTTGCGACTGCACTTGAAGAAACATTCAAAGTTCTTGATATTTTCCGGATTGACTGACCTTCATGTCTTAAAGTAATGATGGACTGTCGTTTCTCTTTGCTTATTTGAGCTGTTCTTGCCATAATATGGACTTGGTCTTTTACCAAATAGGGCTATCTTCTGTATACCATCCCTACCATGTCACAACACAACTGATTGTCTCAAACGCATTAAGAAGGAAAGACATTCCACAAATTAACTTAACAAGGCACACCTGATAATTGAAATGCATTCCAGGTGACTACCTCATGAAGCTGGTTGAGAGAATGCCAAGAGTGTGCAAAGCTGTCATCAAGGCAAAGGGTGGCTACTTTGAAGAATCTCAAATATAAAATATATTTTGATTTGTTGAACACTTTTTTGGTGACTATATGATTCCATATGTGTTATTTCATAGTTTTGATTTCTTCACTATTATTCTACAATGTAGAAAATAGTAAAAATAAAGAAAAACCCTGGAATGAGTAGGTGTGTCCAAACTTTTGACTTGTACTGTAAATGAATTTGTCCCAATACTTTTGGTCCCCTAAAATGGGTGTGAATATGTACAGAAAGTGCTGTAATTTCTAAACGGTTCACCTGATATGGATGAAAATACCCTGAAATTAAAGCTGACAATCTACACTTTAACCTCATAGTCATTCTATCAAGTGCTGGAGTACAGAGCCAAAACATCAACAAAACTGTCACTGTCCGAATACTTTTGGAGCTCGCTGCATGAAAGATTGTGAAATAGTCATTACTCAACCACTTTACCATTTTTAAAGCACTTTTCGGGAACTGAACAGAGCAGTGAATTAGCTGAAGGGAACGGGAAGCAGTTTTCTAAGAGGAACAGGAGTGGATAAGGAGAACAGGAGTGGATAAGGAGAACAGGAGTGGATAAGGGGAACAGGAGTGGATAAGGGGAACAGGAGTGGATAAGGAGAACAGGAGTGGATAAGGAGAACAGGAGTGGATAAGGGGAACAGGAGTGGATAAGGGGAACAGGAGTGGATAAGGGGAACAGGAGTGGATGATTGTGTGTGTGTGTGTGTGTGAGGGTTGCAGCCCTAACGGCACCAGCCTTCCCAGCCTGTCTTCCAATGCATGCACCACAGAGCACAAGGCAACAATGGTTTTTAGACTGAAAAACAATATGTCACTTTAAAGCCCTTAGTGTGAACTGTCATGATGCACCAGACAGGGACATATAACATAGACCAAACAATGCCAAAAAAGATATCCCCAACCGGCCTTCCCAACCTACTGTGGTCTGGAAGCGTCTGTGTTTGTTTGTGTGTGTGTGTGTGGCGAACAAGTGGAAAGAATGCACCTCCCAAATAGCACCCTATTCTCTATGTAGTGCACTACTTTTGACCAGAGGCCCTAAGGACTGCACTATATAGAGAACAGAGTGCTATTTGGGTTTCAACCACAGTGACTGCCTGACACGTTTGGCGTTCAATTAAACGTAGAATGGTGTCACATTCCTACACTCACTGGATCTATGGTGTAGGGTGTGCGTTTGTGTGTGTGTGTGTGTGTGTGTCTGTGTGTGTGTGCGCGCATGTGTTTGTCTGTATAGGACAATGTTTATTTTGACAGTGTGTGTGTGGGGGCATCAGTTTACCCTCTCTCCACCAGGAACGTGTCCCTCCAGACTTTGGCTTTCCGATTGCGTTTGAATCTGGAAAGACAAAATGCACTTTAGTTGATAGAATTCACGTGGGCCTGGCTGTAGACTTACCAATGGATGCTTTCCAATTGGCACCCTGTTCAGTGCACTCCTTTTGACCAGGGCCAATTGGGTTATCCATAGGGTTCTGGTCAAAAGAAGTGCACTATATAGGAAATAGGGTGTCATTTGGGACGAAGACCCATGAGCTATGTCGGGTCTGCAGTGTACAGCCAGAGCCACAGTGAATACAGCCAGAGCTACAGTGAATACAGCCAGAGCTACAGTGAATACAGCCAGAGCTACAGTGAATCATTACACAACTAGGATTATAGGATTCCTAAGGATTTGTGGAGTCAAGATAAGGAACTGAAATTTGTTCAGCATGAAACCCTGAATCACTGGCTTGGTTTACAGGATTAGATCCTACCCTTTCCCTTGCTCTGTCGATGTTTGAGTCCCAAATGGCATCCTGTACCCCATAGTGCTCTGGTCAAAACTAGTGCAGTTCTATAGGGAATATGGTGCCATTTGGGATGCACACGTGCTCTGTGAATGTTTTATTTTGAGACTGAATTGCGTGCATTATGATTATGTAATTGATACATATTTTGGTGTGTTTATTAATATAGTGATCCATGTTAAAACACACTGCAATGTTTAAAACGTCAGGATTAGATGCCCCTAAATGTATGATTATACAATGTCTTTATAGCAGAGCTTATTTTTTGGATAGGTTTTGCTTGAAAAAGAAATATGCTTAATCTCAATGGAATTGCCTGGTGTACTAAATAACAAAATAGAAAATTTATTTTAAAAGTATATGCCCCCATTCCTACCTGTTGTATATGGCTCCATTCCTACCTGTTGTATATGACCCCATTCCTACCTGTTGTATATGGCTCCATTCCTACCTGTTGTATATGACCCCATTCCTACCTGTTGTATATGGCTCCATTCCTACCGGTTGTATATGACTCCATTCCTACAGGTTGTATATGACCCCATTCCTACCGGTTGTATATGACCCCATTCCTACCGGTTGTATGTGACCCCATTCCTACCGGTTGTATATGACCCCATTCCTACCGGTTGTATATGACCCCATTCCTACCGGTTGTATATGACCCCATTCCTACTGGTTGTATATGGCTCCATTCCTACTGGTTGTATATGACCCCATTCCTACCGGTTGTATATGACCCCATTCCTACCGGTTGTATATGACCCCATTCCTACCGGTTGTATATGACCCCATTCCTACTGGTTGTATGTGACTCCATTCCTACCGGTTGTATATGACCCCATTCCTACCGGTTGTATATGACCCCATTCCTACTGGTTGTATGTGACTCCATTCCTACCTGTTTCCAGTCTTCTCCTGTTCCAGGAGTTTGAGGATGGACTTCCCGTCCATGTCTGGAGGCGTGTCCAGCCCAGCGATGTGCAGGATGGTGGGGGCAAGGTCAATGTTCAACACCAACTGAGGGTTACTGGGGAGGAACAGAACAACAACATCAACAACACCAACAGACATAAAAAATGCTTGGCACTCAGCATTAGGAGATGGATTGGGGGTAACGGCTTGCAACAGGCTAGGGCCCTGTCCAGGGGGTGTACTGGTACATCAAGCTGCCTCCAGGGGGTGTAATGGTACATCAAGCTGCCTCCAGGGGGTGTACTGGTACATCAAGCTGCCTCCAGGGGGTGTACTGGTACATCAAGCGGCCTCCAGGGGGTGTACTGGTATATCAAGCTGCCTCCAGGGGGTGTACTGGTACATCAAGCGGCCTCCAGGGGGTGTACTGGTACATCAAGGGGCCTCCAGGGGGTGTACTGGTACATCAAGCTGCCTCCAGGGGGTGTACTGGTACATAAAGTGGCCTCCAGGGGGTGTACTGGTACATCAAGCTGCCTCCAGGGGGTGTACTGGTACATAAAGCGGCCTCCAGGGGTGTAACTGGTACATCAAGCTGCCTCCAGGGGGTGTACTGGTACATAAAGCGGCCTCCAGGGGGTGTACTGGTATATCAAGCTGCCTCCAGGGGGTGTACTGGTACATCAAGTGGCCTCCAGGGGGTGTACTGGTACATCAAACTGCCTCCAGGGGTATACTGGTACATCAAGCGGCCTCCAGGGGGTGTACTGGTAAATCAAGCGGCCTCCAGGGGGTGTACTGGTACATCAAGCGGCCTCCAGGGGGTGTACTGGTACATCAAGCGGCCTCCAGGGGGCGTACTGGTACATCAAGCGGCCTCCAGGGGGTGTACTGGTACATCAAGCTGCCTCCAGGGGGTGTAATGGTACATCAAGCTGCCTCCAGGGGGTGTACTGGTACATCAAGCTGCCTCCAGGGGGTGTACTGGTACATCAAGCGGCCTCCAGGGGGTGTACTGGTATATCAAGCTGCCTCCAGGGGGTGTACTGGTACATCAAGCGGCCTCCAGGGGGTGTACTGGTACATCAAGCGGCCTCCAGGGGGCGTACTGGTACATCAAGCGGCCTCCAGGGGGTGTACTGGTACATCAAGCGGCCTCCAGGGGGTGTACTGGTACATCAAACTGCCTCCAGGGATGTACTGGTACATCAAGCGGCCTCCAGGGGGTGTACTGGTACATCAAGGGGCCTCCAGGGGGTGTACTGGTACATCAAGCGGCCTCCAGGGGGTGTACTGGTACATCAAGCTGCCTCAGACTACCCTATGGCTCGTTCTGGCTTGGACAAGGCTGACTTACACTGCTCCAGGCTCGACGTCGGGCCCGCGGAGGAAGAAGGGCACTCTGATGTCAAAGTCGTAGGGCATGGACTTCCCCTTTACCAGCCCAAACTGGCCGATGTGGTAGCCGTGGTCAGCTGTGTAGATTATGTAGGTGTTGTCCAGTTCCCCACACTCTACCAACATCTCATACACCTGGAGAGGGAGGGAGGGAGGGAGAGAGAGGAGAGAGGGAGAGAGAGAGAGAGAGAGAGAGAGAGAGAGAGAGAGAGAGAGAGAGATAGAGAGAGAGAGAGAGAGAGAGAGATAAGAGAGAGATATAGAGAGGAGAGAGAGATGAGAGCGAGAGAGCTAGAGAGAGAGACTCTTTATGACCCCACTCTCAAAATAATGCTATTTTGATATGAAAGATAAAGCCGATCATCAGTACCAGAATTGGAATTCACACTGACCAACAATAGGAGATGAGCTCATAGGGATGTGAATTTACTAATGAATAATCACATGGTGGAGACAAATCCTCTTACCTTCTGTACAGAATCATCCACTGACATGAGTGTCTGCAGTCTCTTCCTGTGTAGGAAGTTGGTGAACTCCATGTGGATGGGTCTCATGGGGCCGGTGTACTGCATGATCCAGTGTTTATCCATGTTTGGGGCGTAGTTATAACTGGGGGTGCTGCGGAGAGGACAGGAGAGGAGACAAGCAATGGTTACAAACAAGGCCTGTCTGTCAATACAGCGAGTGTGGGGGAGAGGGGACTAATGGGGATGGAGACAGTGGGAGAGGGGCCTAATGGGGATGGAGACAGTGGGAGAGGGGCCTAATGGGGATGGAGACAGTGAGTGTGGGGGAGAGGGGACTAATGGGGATGGAGACAGTGGGAGAGGGGGACTAATGGGGATGGAGACAGTGGGAGAGGGGACTAATGGGGATGGAGACAGTGGGAGAGGGGACTAATGGGGATGGAGACAGTGAGTGTGGGGGGAGAGGGGACTAATGGGGATGGAGACAGTGGGAGAGGGGACTAATGGGGATGGAGACAGTGGGAGAGGGGACTAATGGGGATGGAGACAGTGGGAGAGGGGACTAATGGGGATGGAGACAGTGGGAGAGGGGACTAATGGGGATGGAGACAGTGGGAGAGGGGACTAATGGGGATGGAGACAGTGGGAGAGGGGACTAATGGGGATGGAGACAGTGAGTGTGGGGGGAGAGGGGACTAATGGGGATGGAGACAGTGGGAGAGGGGCCTAATGGGGATGGAGACAGTGAGTGTTGGGGAGAGGGGACTAAGGGGATGGAGTCAGTGGGAGAGGGGACTAATGGGGATGGAGACAGTGGGAGAGGGGACTAATGGGGATGGAGACAGTGGGAGAGGGGACTAATGGGGATGGAGACAGTGGGAGAGGGGACTAATGGGGATGGAGACAGTGGGAGAGGGGACTAATGGGGATGGAGACAGTGGGAGAGGGGACTAATGGGGATGGAGACAGTGGGAGAGGGGACTAATGGGGATGGATACAGGGGGAGAGGGGACTAATGCGGATGGAGACAGTGAGTGTGGGGGAGAGGGGACTAATGGGGATGGAGACAGTGGGAGAGGGGACTAATGGGGATGGAGACAGTGGGAGAGGGGACTAATGGGGATGGAGACAGGGGGAGAGGGGACTAATGGGGATGGAGACAGTGAGTGTTGGGGAGAGGGGACTAATGGGGATGGAGACAGTGGGAGAGGGGACTAATGGGGATGGAGACAGTGGGAGAGGGGACTAATGGGGATGGAGACAGTGGGAGAGGGGACTAATGCGGATGGAGACAGTGAGTGTGGGGGAGAGGGGACTAATGGGGATGGAGACAGTGGGAGAGGGGACTAATGGGGATGGAGACAGTGGGAGAGGGGACTAATGGGGATGGAGACAGGGGGAGAGGGGGACTAATGGGGATGGAGACAGTGAGTGTTGGGGAGAGGGGCCTAATGGGGATGGAGACAGTGGGAGAGGGGACTAATGGGGATGGAGACAGTGGGAGAGGGGACTAATGGGGATGGAGACAGTGAGTGTGGGGGAGAGGGGACTAATGGGGATGGAGACAGTGGGAGAGGGGACTAATGGGGATGGAGACAGTGGGAGAGGGGACTAATGGGGATGGAGACAGGGGGAGAGGGGACTAATGGGGATGGAGACAGGGGGAGAGGGGACTAATGGGGATGGAGACAGTGAGTGTGGGGGAGAGGGGCCTAATGGGGATGGAGACAGGGGGAGAGGGGCCTAATGGGGATGGAGACAGTGGGAGAGGGGACTAATGGGGATGGAGACAGGGGGAGAGGGGACTAATGGGGATGGAGACAGGGGGAGAGGGGACTAATGGGGATGGAGACAGTGAGTGTGGGGGAGAGGGGCCTAATGGGGATGGAGACAGGGGGAGAGGGGACTAATGGGGATGGAGACAGTGAGTGTGGGGGGAGAGGGGACTAATGGGGATGGAGACAGTGGGAGAGGGGACTAATGGGGATGGAGACAGTGGGAGAGGGGACTAATGGGGATGGAGACAGCGAGTGTTGGGGAGAGGGGCCTAATGGGGATGGAGACAGTGGGAGAGGGGACTAATGGGGATGGAGACAGTGAGTGTGGGGGAGCGGGGCCTAATGGGGATGGAGACAGCGAGTGTGGGGGAGAGGGGACTAATGGGGATGGAGACAGTGGGAGAGGGGACTAATGGGGATGGAGACAGTGGGAGAGGGGACTAATGGGGATGGAGACAGTGGGAGAGGGGACTAATGGGGATGGAGACAGTGGGAGAGGGGACTAATGGGGATGGAGACAGTGGGAGAGGGGCCTAATGGGGATGGAGACAGGGGGAGAGGGGACTAATGGGGATGGAGACAGTGAGTGTGGGGGGAGAGGGGACTAATGGGGATGGAGACAGTGGGAGAGGGGACTAATGGGGATGGAGACAGGGGGAGAGGGGACTAATGGGGATGGTGTCCGTTATAACAGGGGGTGCTGCGGAGATGCTATGAAAGAAACAACACAATAATGTGTCTTTGAAACCCTCACAGTCCAAGAGATCGAAGCGGCGAGAGAAGCAGAACCTGTCTTAAAGAGAAGCAGAACCTGTCTTAAAGAGAAGCAGAACCTGTCTTAAAGAGAAGCAGAACCTGTCTTAAAGAGAAGCAGAACCTGTCTTAAAGAGAAGCAGAACCTGTCTTAAAGAGAAGCAGAACCTGTCTTATAGAGAAGCAGAACCTGTCTTAAAGAGAAGCAGAACCTGTCTTAAAGAGAAGCAGAACCTGTCTTATAGAGAAGCAGAACCTGTCTTATAGAGAAGCAGAACCTGTCTTATAGAGAAGCAGAACCTGTCTTATAGAGAAGCAGAACCTGTCTTAAAGAGAAGCAGAACCTGTCTTATAGAGAAGCAGAACCTGTCTTATAGAGAAGCAGAACCTGTCTTAAAGAGAAGCAGAACCTGTCTTAAAGAGAAGCAGAACCTGTCTTAAATGTCCCTAAATAGAGCAGTCATCAGAGCATCAACTAACCATAAAGAAACCCTTTAAGGTTTCAGCAGTAAGCAACACACCTCTTTGTCATTTCTCAGGGCTCAGCCTTCCTGAGGTGTCTGTGTCCCAAATGGCACCCTATTCCGTACATAGTGCACTACTTTAGACCAGAGTCCTGGTCAAAAGTAGTGCACTATATAGGGAATATGGTGCCATTTGGGAAGCTGTCTGTGGGTTCTACCCTTCTGTCCGCTCTGTTTGACAAGCATCAATAACCCAGGCCTGGTTATTGAGGGAAACGCTCTAAGCTAAAGAAGGAGAACGAAAGGAGAAGAGAGAGAGAGAGAAGAAGAAGAGAGAGAAGAGAGAGAGAGAGTCCATATATATATATCTATTCTACATATCATACAGCTATATGCTCTCTATCTCTTACTCTCTCTCTCTCTCTCTCTCTCTCTCTCTCTGCTCTCTCCCTTCCTCTCTCTCTCTCCCCCTCCTCCCTCTCTCTCCCTCCCCCTGACCATCTCTCCTCACACGTCAAGACGACAGACCTAGTGCTTTTGGCTAGGATAAATAATTTGAGGGTTGGCACGTGCTTAAGAAAATAATAGCTGTGTTAGCCTCCAGACCCCAAAGTCAAGTTGGCTACAAGCCCTGGACTGTAAAGCCAATAAAGTCCTGATCGTTGAAGATGAAACTACATGGGGTTGGTAGAGGGGTGGAGAGATGGATACGTACGGTCTGTACACCTCTTCCAACCCCATGTCTACTGTGGTATTGGCTGGTACAGAGGTGGGTGTGGGTGGGTGTGTGTGGGAGTGGGTGTGTGATGTGGGCGGGTGTGAAGGTGGGTGGGTTTTTTCGTAGTGGTGGAGGTGTAAAGAGAGCGAGAGAGAGAAGTACAGTACACGTCTACTGTGGTTTCGGCTGGTACAGAGGTGTGTGTGGGTGGGTGGGTGTTGTGTGGGTGTATGTGGGTGGGTGTGAAGTACAGTACACGTCTACTGTGGTTCTGGCTGTTGGTTTTGATGCTGATGAGAATCGTTCCTCAGACACCAGCAAAATAAAGGTTGGGAGAAGGATACTTCCACTCAATGCTCCGTTAGTTCTTCAGTGTGTTGCTTGACTTGGGTAAGATCCAGCTAATCCTTGGTGGGCTTACATGCTAGGAGGCTGCACAGTAAGGCAGTAAAATATCTAGACCCTGTCTGTTGTAAAACATCTAGACTCTGTCTGTCATAAATAAAAACAGGCATCTGTAGTTTGGAAGGGAGCGATGGAAAGGGGAGGGTTTGATGTTAATGTCATCAACTCTTGCTGCACTGACTGGGCCTGCATCCCAGATAACATCATATTCCCTATTTAATGCACTACTTTTGACAATGGCCCATAGGGAATAGGGTGCCATTTTGTACGCATCCTGTGAAGGGTAACGAATGGCATGGGAATTTGGAACCTGACAACCACACAGTGGTTTTTATTTATTTAAGTACATGATTAGGGTGTCCTAACTACAGCTTGGTATTGTGTGGTGTGAACTACAGCTTGGTATTGTCATGTGAACTACAGCTTGGTATTGTGGTGTGAACTACAGCTTGGTATTGTGTGGTGTGAACTACAGCTTGGTATTGTGATGTGAACTACAGCTTGGTATTGTGGTGTGAACTACAGCTTGGTATTGTGTGGTGTGAACTACAGCTTGGTATTGTGTGGTGTGAACTACAGCCTGGTATTGTGGTGTAAACAACAGCTTGGTATTGTGGTGTGAACTACAGCTTGGTATTGTGTGGTGTGAACTACAGCTTGGTATTGTGTGGTGTGAACTACAGCTTGGTATTGTGTGGTGTGAACTACAGCTTGGTATTGTGGTGTAAACTACAGCTTGGTATTGTGTGGTGTGAACTACAGCTTGGTATTGTGGTGTGAACTACAGCTTGGTATTGTGTGGTGTGAACTACAGCTTGGTATTGTGGTGTGAACTACAGCTTGGTATTGTTGTGTGTGAACAAGACAAAGCTGAACTTTTATCTGCAGGTGGAAGTAACTTTAAACCCTTAACCCCTGCCTTATCCCAGGCTGAACGCGAGTAGTGATTAGTCTTCACATTGTGTTGTGAGGTTGTAGTCTAAGCTGAACACTAACCCTGAGGGCCAGAGAGATAATCACAGACTCATTTAGAACGCAGGCTAGATGTCCACAATGGTACCATATTCTCTGTAGTGCACTACCTTTGAACAGAGCCCATAGAGAATGGGGTACCATTTGGGATGCAACCATACAGAGAACCTGTGTACAAGGTGTAGTGTGACAGATGTCAGGTGTGTCCTATAGGACCCTCCTATAAGGGCTGGGTGCATTCCCCTGACCCCAACATTACTGGTTCTCCTGGAGGTGCCCAGCCCCAGCCCCACCCTCTGATGTCCTTGTGCCCAGACACAGGCCTCTTTGTGGGGATTATTAGACCGCCTGGCTGGGCGGGTGAAGAGTTAAGTCAGAACACAATGGAGGTCTGAGGAGGAGAAGGGAGAAGAGGAGGGCAGGAGTCACCACACAAGACAATCAGAGGAGAGGAGAGGCGGAGTCACCACGCAAGACAATCAGAGGAGAGGAGAGGAGAGGTGGAGTCACCACACAAGACAATCAGAGGAGAGGAGAGGCGGAGTCACCACGCAAGACAATCAGAGGAGAGGAGAGGAGAGGTGGAGTCACCACACAAGACAATCAGAGGAGAGGAGAGGAGAGGCGGAGTCACCACACAAGACAATCAGAGGAGAGGAGAGGCGGAGTCACCACGCAAGACAATCAGAGGAGAGGAGAGGAGAGGTGGAGTCACCACACAAGACAATCAGAGGAGAGGAGAGGAGAGGCGGAGTCACCACACAAGACAATCAGAGGAGAGGAGAGGAGAGGAGAGGAGAGGAGAGGAGAGGAGAGGAGAGGAGAGGAGAGGCGGAGTCACCACACAAGATAATCAGAGGAGAGGAGAGGAGAGGCGGAGTCACCACAGAAGATAATCAGAGGAGAGGAGAGGAGAGGCGGAGTCACCACACAAGACAATCAGAGGAGAGGAGAGGAGAGGCGGAGTCACCACACAAGACAATCAGAGGAGAGGAGAGGAGAGGAGAGGCGGAGTCACCACACAAGACAATCAGAGGAGAGGAGAGGAGAGGCGGAGTCACCACACAAGACAATCAGAGGAGAGGAGAGGAGAGGAGAGGCGGAGTCACCACACAAGACAATCAGAGGAGAGGAGAGGAGAGGCGGAGTCACCACACAAGATAATCAGAGGAGAGGAGAGGAGAGGCGGAGTCACCACAGAAGATAATCAGAGGAGAGGAGCGGCGAGGCGAGGCGGAGTCACCACACATGTCAATCAGAGGAGAGGCGGAGTCACCATACAAGTCAATCTCTACTTGGAAAAGGCTGGTTTGATTCACAATATATGGGCAGATATGCCTGGCACCTGTTCCACTACCCACTGACCCTGAAGCTCACAACAACACACATTTCACACATTACACAAAATGCCAGTAACCTTGGACAACCAGCCAACCCAACACCACAGTCACCACCACCACGGAACCACAACAGAAACAATCAGAAGAAAGCCAGGGCGAGCAAAAGGCGAGGACGGGAGCGCAGACGAGTGAGCGAAAGAGCGGGCAAAGAGAGAGCAGAAGAGGCGAGAAGCGAGAGAGAACGAGGGAGCGGGTAGAGAAAGAGGGGAACAGGAAAGAGTCGGAGGGAAGAGCGGAGCGGTGCAATGCGCTAGAGATCTACTAGACGCACTCCGAGAGATCTATATGCTCTCCTAGTATCGCCTCTTTCTCTCTCTCCTTATCTCTCTTTCTCTACCTTTTCTCTCTTCTCTCTCCTTTCTCTCCTTCTCTCTCCCCTTTCTCTGCTTCTCTCTCCCCCTTTCTCTGCTTCTCTCTCCCTCTTTCTCTCCTTCTCTCTCTCCCACTCATTCTACTTCTGCCCACTTAACCACCTAGGGGTCTAGTCTGTCTAGTGTGTGTGTGTGTGTGTGTGTGTGTGCGACTCACATGTGTTGGGAGGCATTAGGGAACATCTCTGAGTATTGTGGGGCTGAGTCCTCTGGCCCGTGGGGGGCAGCGTGGCTGATGACCATCATCACTGGTCGGTGAGGGTACACCTTCTTGGACACACGGAAGAAGTTGATACTGTCGTTGGTGATCAGGTCCGTGAAATAGTCCTGCAACGGGGAGAACAACAGGTATTGGCTTTACAGCTGGAATCATTCATGGTGAAACTGCCATGTCTGTTTGGAATATTACAACAACAAACAAGTTACTGCAAACAACCAACACAGTTTTTGCACGCACGATAGAACAGCAGAATATGGTCTTTTTTTTTTTTTACCACACTGTTGGACGCTCCTCAGCTCTGTTTCATCAACAATACAAAAACAATAACAAAGGCGGTGAGGCGGACAGTGTCGTTTCCACTGATGCGGATTCCATCTTTAATACTCATTGGCAGTGGGGCGGACATTGGCGTTTCCACTGATGCGGATTCCATCTTTAATACTCATTGGCAGTGGGGCGGACAGTGGTGTCTCCACTGATGTGGATTCCATCTTTAATACTCATTGGCAGTGGGGCGGACAGTGGCGTTTCCACTGATGTGGATTCCATCTTTAATACTCATTGGCAGTGGGGCGGACAGTGTCGTTTCCACTGATGCGGATTCCATCTTTAATACTCATTGGCAGTGGGGCGGACATTGGCGTTTCCACTGATGCGGATTCCATCTTTAATACTCATTGGCAGTGGGGCGGACAGTGGTGTCTCCACTGATGTGGATTCCATCTTTAATACTCATTGGCAGTGGGGCGGACAGTGGCGTTTCCACTGATGTGGATTCCATCTTTAATACTCATTGGCAGTGGGGCGGACAGTGGTGTCTCCACTGATGTGGATTCCATCTTTAATACTCATTGGCAGTGGGGCGGACAGTGGCGTTTCCACTGATGTGGATTCCATCTTTAATACTCAATTGCAGTGGGGCGGACAGTGGCGTTTCCACTGATGTGGATTCCATCTTTAATACTCATTGGCGTTGGGGCGGACAGTGGCGTTTCCACTGATGTGGATTCCATCTTTAATACTCATTGGCGTTGGGGCGGACAGTGGCGTTTCAATGAATGCGGATTCCATCTTTAATACTCATTGTGTGGATAAAATGTTTTATATTGTACAGGTTGGGCTCTTCACAGTCTCCAAGTCCAGAACAGACTATGGGAGGCGCACAGTACTACACAGAGCCATGACTACATGGAACTCTATTCCACATCAAGTAACTGATGCAAGCAGTAGAATCAGATTTTAAAAAACAGATAAAAATACATCTTATGGAACAGCGGGGACTGTGAAGAGACACACACATTCACAGGCACAGACACACGCTTACACACACACACACACACTAGCACACGCATGCCACACACACGTACATTGTAATATTGTTGTATGGTGGTATTCTACATTTTGTATTGTAGATATGTAATAGTGTAACAATGTTATATGATGTACTGTTTTATCTTTTGATTTATGTGTAATATAAGCGTCTTAATGTGTTTGGACCCCAGGAAGAGTAGCTGCTGCCTCGGCAGGAACTAATGGGGATCCATAATAAACCCCAGGGAGAGTAGCTGCTGCCTTGGCAGGAACTAATGGGGATCCATAATAAACCCCAGGGAGAGTAGCTGCTGCCTTGGCAGGAACTAATGGGGATCCATAATAAACCCCAGGAAGAGTAGCTGCTGCCTTGGCAGGAACTAATGGGGATCCATAATAAACCCCAGGAAGAGTAGCTGCTGCCTTGGCAGGAACTAATGGGGATCCATAATAAACCCCAGGAAGAGTAGCTGCTGCCTTGGCAGGAACTAATGGGGATCCATAATAAACCCCAGGAAGAGTAGCTGCTGCCTCGGCAGGAACTAATGGGGATCCATAATAAACCCCAGGAAGAGTAGCTGCTGCCTCGGCAGGAAACTAATGGGGATCCATAATAAACCCCAGGAAGAGTAGCTGCTGCCTTGGCAGGAACTAATGGGGATCCATAATAAACCCCAGGAAGAGTAGCTGCTGCCTTGGCAGGAACTAATGGGGATCCATAATAAACCCCAGGAAGAGTAGCTGCTGCCTTGGCAGGAACTAATGGGGATCCATAATAAACCCCAGGAAGAGTAGCTGCTGCCTTGGCAGGAACTAATGGGGATCCATAATAAACCCCAGGAAGAGTAGCTGCTGCCTTGGCAGGAACTAATGGGGATCCATAATAAACCCCAGGAAGAGTAGCTGCTGCCTTGGCAGGAACTAATGGGGATCCATAATAAACCCCAGGAAGAGTAGCTGCTGCCTTGGCAGGAAACTAATGGGGATCCATAATAAACCCCAGGAAGAGTAGCTGCTGCCTTGGCAGGAACTAATGGGGATCCATAATAAACCCCAGGAAGAGTAGCTGCTGCCTTGGCAGGAACTAATGGGGATCCATTATAAACCCCAGGAAGAGTAGCTGCTGCCTCGGCAGGAACTAATGGGGATCCATAATAAACCCCAGGAAGAGTAGCTGCTGCCTTGGCAGGAACTAATGGGGATCCATAATAAGCCCCAGGAAGATTAGCTGCTGCCTTGGCAGGAACTAATAATGGGGATCCATAATAAATACAAACATAGGAATAGTTCTGGACTACAGAGCAAGTTAAATGGAGATTATCCATAGAAAGAGTTTAATAGTCCAGGACTTGGCATAATCTGCTTCCGGGAAACCAGCCCCAAAAGTTCAGAGTAGCTCAAAGTAACAGGGCTAGGTTGTTGTCTGGTCTAACGGGGTAGATGGGTAGTAACTGGGGGGTAGATGGGTAGTAACGGGGGGTAGTAGATGGGTAGTAACTGGGTAGTAGATGGGTAGTAACAGGGGGTAGAGGTAGTACGGGTAGGTAACGGGGGAGGGTGGGGGTAGATGGGTAGTAACGGGGGGTAGATGGGTAGTAACGGGGAGGGGTACATGGGGTGAGGGTAGTAACGGGGGTAGATGGGTGTAGGTAGAGGGGGGTAGATGGGTAGTAACGGGGGGTAGATGGGTGAGTGTAGAGGTAGTGGGGTAGATGGGTAGTAACGGGGGGGTGAGATGGGGTAGAGGTAAAGGGGGGAGATGGGTGGTACGGGGGTAGATGGGTAGTAATGGGGGGTAGATGGGTAGTAACGGGGGGTAGATGGTGTAGTAACGGGGGTAGATGGGTAGTAATGGGGGCGATGGGTTAATGGGGGTAGATGGGTAGTAAGGGGGTAGGGGTAGATGGGTAGTAACGGGGGGTAGGTAGTGGGTAGTAACGGGGGTAGATGGGTAGTAACGGGGGTGAGGAGTACGGGGTAGTGGGTAAGTAACGGGGGGGTAGATGGGTAGTAACGGGGGGTAGATGGGTAGTAACTGGGGGGTAGATGGGTAGTAACTGGGGGTAGATGGGTAGTAACGGGGGGTAGATGGGTAGTAACGGGGGGTAGATGTGTAGTAACTGGGGGTAGATGGGTAGTAACGGGGGGTAGATGGGTAGTAACTGGGGGTAGATGGGTAGTAACTGGGGGTAGATGGGTAGTTACGGGGGGTAAGCTGTATTCTGGTACATGTTGTTTTCTGCCTTAATCTGTCACCAGGGCTGGATCCCAAATGGCACCCTATTCCCTCAATAGTGCACTACTTTTGACCAGAGCTCAGTCTTTTTCAGAAGTGCACAGATGAGGGAATAGGAATATTCATCTTTAGTAAACATAACTTCAGACAACCACGTCTAACCTCATGTCGAAACCCCACAGCCCAGTCAAAACTGTTCGCTGCTCTGGCACCCCAATGGTGGAACAAGCTCCCTCACGACGCCAGGACAGCGGAGTCACTCACCACCTTCCGGAGACATTTGAAACCCCACCTCTTTAAGGAATACCTGGGATAGGATAAAGTAATCCTTCTAACCCCCCCCCCCCCCCCAAAAAAAAAAAAAACATTGTAAAGTGGTTATCCCACTGGCTATAAGGTGAATGCACCAATTTGTAAGTCGCTCTGGATAAGAGCGTCTGCTAAATGTCGTAAATGTAAATGTAATGTCAAAACCCCACAGCTCATCTGTCCTTCCTAGCAGCAGCATGGGGGTCTGACCTGGCCATCAGCCAGGCACATAGACTACTGCAGCATAGATACCTGGCCATCAGCCAGGCACATAGACTACTGCAGCATAGATACCTGGCCATCAGCCAGGCACATAGACTACTGCAGCATAGATACCTGGCCATCAGCCAGGCACATAGACTACTGCAGCATAGATACTGGAGGCTGAGACGGGGGGGGGGGGGGGGGTCTGACCTGGCCATCAGCCAGGCACATAGACTACTGCAGCATAGATACTGGAGGCTGAGACGGGGGGGGGGGTCTGACCTGGCCATCAGCCAGGCACATAGACTACTGCAGCATAGATACTGGAGGCTGAGACGGGGGGGGGGGGGGGGTCGGGGGACACTGTTGCCCCGTCCGACGATATCCCCGGGCAGGGCCAACCAGGCAGGATATAACCCCACCCACTTTGCCAAAGCACAGCCCCCACACCAACAGAGGGATATCAACAGACCACCAACCTACTACCCTGAGACAAGGCTGAGTATAGCCCACGAAGATCTCCTCCACCGCACGAGCATGAGGGGGCGACAAACCGGACAGGAAGATCACGTCAGTGACTCAACCCACTCAAGTGACGCACCCCTCCTAGGGACGGCATGGAAGAGCACTAGTAAGCCAGTGACTCAGCCCCCGTAATAGGGTCAGAGGCAGAGAATCCCAGTGGAGAGACGGGAGGGGAGCCGGCCAGGCAGAGACAGCAAGGGCGGTTTGTCGCTCCAGTGCCTTGCCGTTCACCTTCGCACCCCTGGGCCAGACTACACTCAATCATAGGACCTACTGAAGAGATGAGTCTTCAGTAAAGACTTAAAGGTCGAGACAGAGTCTGCGTCTCTCACATGGATAGGCAGACCATTCCATAAAAATTGAGTTCTATAGGAGAAAGCCCTGCCTCCAGCTGTTTGCTTAGAAATTCCAGGGACAATAAGGAGGCCTGCGTCTTGTGACCGTAGCTTACGTGTAGGTATGTAC